CTTCAACACAAAGCATTTTCAGAAGACAAGTTGATAAAGTAAATTTTAAAAATCTGTATTGTTCGATACAAGTGTGTATTGAACCTAAAGCACTGTTCGATACGAGTACATGTATTGCTGCACCCCTAATATATAGTATACACAGTGTCTTTGAACCGTGTCTCCATTAATTTGGGGGTCCCAGACAGAAAAACACTGAAGACCTGTGRTGTGGTCACCCTATTTCTCAGTACCGTAACATTTTGCCTTCTGACAAACTTTCCATCTTCTTTTCCAATAACCGCCCCAGTGTGACAGCTTCTCTTCCTGCTGATTCTTTTGCTCCTCGTCCATTTTTATTTTCCCCAGCAGACTTGTCCTACTTTGTGACCGCCCCCCTTCCCCCCTCCACACCTACTCTAATATCCTAACATCGGATGCTGAGTCTGCCTGCAGAGCTGGTTCTCCTGGGCGCCATTACTGCAGGTCCCCATCAGATCGTCTCTGTGCTCATTTTAAATCCCCACATTGATGCAGCTCATACAGCACGCCCTGAAGTTGAACTGATACTGTGTGTGCCATATATTTATGGTTAGGTTATAGTGGGGTAAAGAGGGGGCAGATTATGTTGTGGGTTTAGGCTGTTTCATCTTGAACAGTGGGTCTGAGCATCGTGCCGCTGCTCAGCAAACTTTCTGTAATTACAGAGCAGGAGGTGCAGGTGTGCTGATTTAGATGGAGACGGGTTTTTCATTTCTCACGATGCTTACCACACAAACAATGAGCGTGGGATCAGTCTAACTCCTGGGAAATAATATGGATGTCCACTTCTCAAACACAACCCTGTGACTCCCAGCAGCTGCAGCTCAAACAAGACTTTCTGTGGCAACTACTAAAGCCTTCATGATCTAATCACTATGTGTGTGTGAGTGTGTGTGCGTATGTACTTGTGTGAGGATGTGTTGTGTTTGATCCAGATTTTGTGTCAGAGCAGATAAGTTGACTGAGAGCGATGGCAGTCAGGGGTCGGACCCAGTGATTGCTTTCATGAGAAGAATACTAATGAAGCTGTTGAGTCACATTTACCAGAGGATAAGAGTTATTTTATTTTGTTTTATTTTGTTTTATTTTTAAATTTACAAAGCATATCATGGATTATACAAAATCCTTATCCTCATCAAACCAAAGTATTTCATTTAGGTGGGATTAGGCAGACACACGTTTTATTGACATTCTGTTTTACAGTTTCACAAATGAAACGATGGAGGAATACACACACACACACACACACACACACACACACACACACACACACACACACAC